TTTAATACTATTGAATTGAAAACAAATTCTACCTCTCCCTTCGTAGATGCTGCATAGGTCCGCATTGATTGATGAAATGGGATCAGTTTTAGAAACAGATCTTGTATGAGAATTAGGGTGAAGGTAAAAATGTGAAGAAGAATGAAGAGTAGAATCATCAGCGTAAGAATAGACATAATTAGTCGTAGCGAGAAGTAAATCATTAATGGAAAGAATGAAGAGAGTAGGTGAAAGAACAGAAAACCACTATTGGTAGAGATTCTCTACTAGAGAAACAGCTAGAGATCGATCCTTCAACAACAACTGCCATGTAGGGAAGAGAAACCATAAGAGGGAAGTTTATAAAGAAAAGACTTCTGCCACACCTTGGAGAGAGCCACGACGAAAGTTTCCTCATAATCCGTAAGGGAGGATGACCAATGATGGGTGCAGTAGCAGTAGGAAAGCAGATCACCGGTAGATTTCGCCTGGCGAAAGCCATACAGGTGATCTGATAAGAAAGAAAGGCGTTCAAGGTGACGGAGAAAATGAGAGTTTAAGAGAGTTTCTAAAAATCTTAGGGCATTAGTTAGTGGGATTAGAATGGTCACCCTTCTTCGGGATGGGCTGAACCGAGGCATGGTTCCGAGAAGAAGGAAACGTTTGGGTTTTGCGCCAAAGACGAAAGAGTCGAGCAAGCACAGGGGCCCGAATCTCAGCACACTCCCTCAGAACACGAGGGGGTATTCAGTACGGACCACATGCCTTACTCACATCCAAACTAGATAACACACCAGGGATAGAGTGGGAATTGTCAAAGGTGGAGTTAGAGGAGAATAAGGTGCCAAAGAGATTGACTTTATCAGGGAGAGAGTTGGCTATAGAGTTATCAGGTCGGAAGAGAGGAGAAAAAAGAGGGAGTGCAGAACTTATTACAGATGGTCTGGTTAAGGACCAAAAGGATTAACTAAAAGAGGAGTTAGTCAGGTCAGCGGTCTCTCTTTTTCAAATATTCCGCTTGGCCCTTCGAAAAATAGTCTTACAACGATTCCTTGAAGTAATGAAAGAAAGTGGATAACAGAAGGAGACAGTTTCATAAATTCATACGCCCTATCCCTATCCCCACATGCAATGGAACAGAAGCGATCAAACCATGATTGTAAAGTGAAAGTTTTGGTAGAAGATTGGATAAATGCACTCATACCACCCTGTATAAAGCCAGCAATGCTGTCAGCTCATACCTAGGCGTCCCGAGAGGAAAATCAACATTCATCCCAAGGAAAGTAGAAGAAGAATTCTCGCAATGATTGCCAGTTTGCCCTCTGGTAATGCTATAGTTGGCATTTGGTGATGGGGTGAGGGAGGTGGTCGTACCCAGTTTGATTTAATAGAAATAATATTGTGATAGAACACCATAAGGGGGTAGAAATTGGGTATGAATAGTGTGAGGGGTTATAGGTAAACAAAGATCAAGAATGTTATTAAGTTGACCATGTCGATCTGTAAATAGAGAAACCAGATATAAGATGAATAACGTTGTTATAGAGAAATACGACTTTGAGAAAGACTTAGGTGGAAGGATAAGTAGGAAATTTAAACTAAGATAACAATGTGTATGTGCTTGAAACAAGGCTAAGGAAGTCCTTGGCTTCATACAAAAAGATTTAGTTGCAAGACTAGCGAGGTTATCCTAAAGCTATAGCTTGCGCTTGTAAAACCTCACTTGGATGACGCGGTTCAGTTCTGGTCACCGTATTACAGAATGGATATAGAATCCTTGGAAAGAATTCAGAGGAGCATTACATGACCAATCAAGGGCATTAGGAACCTTGAGAACAGAGACAGGTTAAAGCATCTTAATTTGCACTCCACCGAGAGACGTAGAGTGAGGGGCGACATGATCGAGGTGTATAAATGGAAGTCAGGGCTAAACAAAGGGGACATTACAATAGTACTCAAACTATCCAACCCGGAGCGAACTCGTAACAATGGTTTTAAATTAGACAAAGTTAGATTTAGGCGCGAAATAGGTAAACATTGGTTTGGAAATAGAGTAGTGGACGACTGGAACAAGTTATCAAACATCATCATTAACTCGAATACGCTGGATAGCTTCAAACATAGGTTGGATGGATATATGAGCAATAAGGGTTGGGTGTAAATGGGACTGCCCAGTATGGGCCAATAGGCCCGCTGCAGTTTCCTCCATTCTTATGTTCTTATGTAGAGTGAGGGGCGATGTGATAGAGGTGTATAAATGGAAGCCAGGGTTAAACAAAGGTGATATAACAAGGTACACAAACTATCCAACCTGGAGCGAACTCGTAGCAATGGTTTTAAATTAGACAAATTTAGATTTAGGGGCGAGATAGGTAAACATTGGTTTGGAAATAGATTAGTGGATGAGTGGAACAAGTTACCAAACATCATCAATAACTCGAGTATGCTGGGTATGTTCAGATATACCTGTGGGAGGTTGGACGGATATCTGAACGATAAGGGTTGGGTGTAAGCGGGACTGCTCAGTATGGGCCAATATGCCCGCTGCAGTTTCCTCCATTCTTATGTTCTTGTGTGTGTGTGTGTGTGTCTCATATTTCGAAATTTTAGAACGGAAAGTACTGGTTTAAAGAACAGGGAAACATACGTGAGGCCCAGAATTGTAAAGTAATTAAATAAATTTACTTGAGTGCTGTACTCAAGTAACATTGTTGGGTATTTACTTTTTTTTAATTTACTCAAATTTTTCAGCATTTTTACTTTTGCTTCAGTATGATTTTCTATACTTTTACTCCAATACAACTGATAAAAAAAAACGAAAATCTTTACTCGTTTCATGCAAACTAATAATATATTTTTAATTAATTATTAATTTAATTTTTAACCATATTAAGAGATGTGTGGGTGGAGCCGTGAGGGGTACGGTGTGTGTGTGTGTGTATGTGTGTGCGTGTGTGCGCGTGTGCGTGCGCGCGCGCGCGTATGTGTGGGAGAGACTACATGGTCACATACCTAGAGGTCTCGTGAGGTGAGGCGACGGTACTGTAGAGCAGGTCATGTGGCAGTGGCAGCGGGCCTTCTTTTTTATCATCTTTTGTCCATTAGCACCTTGACCACCCACTTCACCTCGCCTACCCTTTTATTCCCCCCTTCCCCATCGAATCCCCTGTCTTCCCCCACACCTTTCCTTCAGGTGCTTGGTCTTCCAGTTAGACGTCAGTTTCTCTTTTTACGAGGAATAGCCCACCCGGACACAGGTAATCGACCCACAACGGGGCTTGGGGGCAAAAAACTAAAAGTAAAAGAAATTAAAAATAGAAGAGATAAAGACCAAATTAATCTACACCACGAAGATGCCGGGAAACCAGCTTTTTGAAGTGAGACAGGTTGTATGAGTATGGAAACAAGGAAGAAGGCAGAACATTCCGCAGTTTGGCTGAGTGAGGAGAGAAGGATGTACTATAACGGGATATTCTAGTGTGACCGACATCCACCCAGAAACGGTGGGAACCGCGGGCAAGACGAGTGTTACGAGCCCACGGCCTTGCTGGCGGTACAGAGAATGCCAAATCCACCGAACATTGCCCGTTAAAGTACCTGTATAAAAGAGATAGTGAAGCAACATTGCGGAAAAAAGAAAGGGAAGAGAGATTATCAACTGAAAGGGGAGAGTTAATAAGACGAATGCATTTGTTTCCACCCTATCTAATGGATGGACAGAAGAAGAACCACCCCAGATATGAGAGCAGTACTCCAAGTTAGGACGAATGAATTCTTAATAAACTTGAAGCAACTGCTCAGGAGTGAAGTAGCTACGGATTTTCATAATGTCGTATTGTAAAGCCTGTATCTATACACACGTGTGAGAATGAGTGAATTTAAAATTCTGCTTAGACAACTAAGTACCATTGCCCGCCCCCTTCCCCGTCGCCAGCACCCACCAGATGTTACGTTGTGGGAAAAAATCAACCACTCCTCAATTAGAATCGAAAAGTGATTTCACCAGAACTACACCCAAATTAGAAGGACAGTTCACGGTGAGTCTTAGTCAGACTCGGTCACTATGGAGGCAACAATCACCCACAAACTTCACAACTTGATAGCTACTTGGCATGCCCAGGGGATGGAATGGAGCTACCGAGGTCTTTCCTGACATTATGTGACTTATCTTTCAAGTTTAACACTCCACCAGCCCGAACCTACGGCCTAGAAAACAGTGTGTTAATGTTCGAAATAAGGTAAACAAAGTATTAGGTTTTATATCTAGAAGTGTAAGTAATAAGAGTGCGGAGGTCATATTGCAATTATATCTTGCGCTAGTCAGGCTGCACCTCGATTATGCTGTTCAGTTCTGGTGCCCTTATTATAGAATGGATATCAATTCACTTTAGTCGGTGTAGCGAAGAATGACGAAAATGATTCCGGGACTTAGAAACCTTCCATATCAAGATAGATTAAATAAACTAATCTTGCATTCCCTAGAAAGACGAAGAGTGCGGGAAGATATGATAGAAGTATTTAAGTGGGTGAAAGGAATCAATAAAGGAAATATAGGTAGAGTTCTTTTAATATCCGAACAAGATAGGACTCATACCAATGGGTTTAAGTTGGATAAGTTTAGGTTTAGAAGGGAGATAGGACACAAATCGGATGATAGACGAGTGGAACAAGTTTAGTAACTTTGAAGTATGTGCTGGGGCGCTGGGAAGGTTTGAAAAGGGCTAGATAGACTCATGGATGATAGAGAGTGGTAGTAACTCTCGACAGGAGCTGCCATGCACAGGCCAACCGGCCTATTACAGAATCCTTATTTTCTTATGTTCTTATGTTATGCCTCGTGAGAGTCGTGGGGTCAGCTGTACTGGGTGCCCAGTGGCAGGCTTAAATGACTAACTGGTTTCCGTGAGCCCAGCAGTATATTTTATCAAATTATTCATACACTGATGACAACATTACAAGCCAGTTTTAATATAAACAAAAGTTACCAGGGAAAATTTTCCATCGAGAAGATGCGACTTTGTGTCTATGGTAAATAATTAAGACATGAACAACAGGACGTCATGCGCTTTCACAAATAATTAAATAATTATACTGGTAAGCCGTGGGGAGACGTTCGTGTTGTTGTTTAAAGACGGGAATAAATATTAAAATAGTGCTAGTCTTTCCCTAAAAATAAATAAAAGATGCAGTCAAGGGAGAATTTGAGACCTAACCAGAAAAAAAACTTAAGTTGTTCCTGGGAAAATACACGCCGTGTACTTTGAGAAGGCACATCTCTCTCTCTCTCTCTCTCTCTCTCTCTCTCGCCAGTGGGACTCAGTGCCATGAGGATGTGCCCGGGACACAACTCCCCACGTGGTGACGACTCCTGTGAGCTACTTCAAACATTACTCTCAAGTAAGTTCAGTTCAACTGTATGCAGAGATTTGATAGGGAAAGGATATGCACAGTGGTTAAAGGGTGGATTAATCCAGGTTTTCGTGAAGTTAACTTGGCGGCTGGTGGCAGCTGGCGACGGGTGGTAGCTCGTGCTGGCGACTCACAGAGAGCAGACAGGCTGAAGACCATCTACCGGCTGGTTGCACCCTGATTTCCCAGGGATTTGTTGTTCAGGCGCACACGTGGTTGAACCAACGAGACTGGCGTTATAGCCTCATTGCCTGGACATCCCAGGCAGTGCAAAGCCCGCCAACCATGCTACAAAAAAAAAAACTAAGAAGTGTAACTATGTGTGGGGAACGTAGGGGCTCAAACTAGATAACCTAAGGATGTAGTACCAGAATCAAGGAGGATAGCGAATGTAATACCGATTTTCAAGAAGGGAGATAGATCACCATCCTCGAACTGCTGTCCAATCAGTTTAACATCAATTGTTGGCAAATTAATGGAAGCAATAATTTCAAACTTTATTCGAAATCACCTGGAGAAGCACAGGTTGATCAATGATTCCCAACGTCACCAGGAAATATCGGCTCATTTTTCTGCCACAGTTATTTTACCCCACCAACACACCAGGGAGCGTTTTATGTAAGCGATTGCTGGGTTACTTTTATTTCTAAATTTAAGCGTCTATGTATTTGTTAATATTTTATTTTCCTATACTCTTTTAGGTGGCTCTGGTGTCATGCTTTCGGTGTATTGCTTTGAAGTAACATATTCTCCATTACATGGAGTAATTTAAGCAAGTAACGACTTCTGTCACAATTTACCTGTACGTCTGCTGGATATAATGTTCAATTTCCTCTGATGTCCACAAAAAGTCGAGGAAAGGGTGAAACTTCTTAAGCTTGTAGTAATGGCGGATACAGGAAAATGTGAGAAGAAATGTTTTTGATAGCCCTATAACTCTACCTGGCACTTAGTATTAGTTTGCTTAAGATAAGTTCCCATAGTTGCCATTATATATACTGTACTGTAATGGCAGCCACTGAAAAACTACTAATTTCTCCTTCACTCTTTCCATAATGTAACCAAGAAACCTTCCTTGTTGCTTTTACATTTACATTTAAAGCTTAAATTTTACTATTAGCTGGTGAGGTGAACTCGAATGACGTGAAATCTAGCGATGAAATATAGAAGCAATTCTTGGGGCTTAAGGAGAAAGTTATGGTTGAGAAAATAATGATGTTATGGCTTCAAGTGGTCCCAGAGGAAACATTACTGCTGATGGTTCTATTTTAACAGAGAGACATCGTATCTTCCCGTCCAAGTTAAGAAACACTACTGATTAACGTCTTGACGTAGAGAAAAAAAAGAGTACCTCCTACTTTAATATATGGTAATAAAATTATGTACCGCATTACCCTAGTCGTGATATAAAACACCTTAATACAGGTCATTTAACACGAATGTGTGTGGGTAACCGGGATCTGATTGGTCAAGTTTACGTAAAATGTTTTGGATGACATAACTTGAAGCCAAGCGTCCTTCAGCTTGTAAATTAAACTGCATTTTACATATATGTACAGCTTGGAAATGTAGAGGTTTTTAAACAATGTTAGGTTAGGTTAGGTGATGAACTGTGTAGTTTGAATCAGCTGTGTTTTCTCTGTACTGTGTAGCTTGAGCGAGTTGTGTCTGTGTTATGTGGCCCTCATTGTGTTTTGTCTTTTGTCATGTGGCCTTCATTGTGTTGTACCTGTGTTATGAAGCCCTCATTATGTTGTTTCTGTGTTGTATGGCCCTTTTTGTGCTGTGTCTGTGCTATGTGGCCCTCATTGTGTTGTGTCTGTGTTATGTGGCCCTCATTGTGTCTGTGTAGTCTAAAATTGGTCACGAATAGCCAGTAGGGTGTGTCAATTTAGGGGGTGAACTGGCTAAATTGAAAATCGAGTAATTTGGTAGCAATTTATTGTAGTCTTTAAGCATGCAAAACAATATTCTGGCATAAATTTTTTTTTATAATAAGTCCTACCTACATCAAATGGATTTTTAAATGTACATATTTGTGAATTTATAACATAACCAGCGTTTGCACACATGTTACTGTTTCAAGTTTCAAATTATTATATTTTATTATCCGTAGTCTATTTGAAAGTAACCAATGCCTTCATACTCTCTTTGCTTTGGTTTCTTGTCATCAGTAGTCTGCTTGCTATTTGTGCTTTGATGTAACCTTCTCGCCTCTCGTGGCTGTAAACATGGCCCGCTGCTTCTGTGACCATTTTCACACATCTCTCCACACTTTGAGTGTGGGAAGGCCACTTCGGCACCTGCATTGGAGTCTCTTTAAGGTTTCTCAATTCTTGGCTAGTTAGACTTGTTGTCAATGGTGGCTCTAAGACTTCCAAACTCAAGTCAACCAATTCTGACAATTTGGTGGCATTGACGTTTATTGGGGGAACTTTTCTTGAATGAAACGAACAGTCTCCCAACTGGTCGTCATCTATTAGCGTTCCTCTAATCTTTAGAATGACTTCTACAGCCTCGGTTCGGAGATTGGTACATTGACTGCAAAGCATTGCTTGCAAAACTGCTTCTGATCGAGCATACCAAGCGGACCTTCTTGCCACAGGTAACACGATGTCCCTCACTACCTTCCTCTGTGTTCTTACTAGCTGCAATTGAAACAAAAGGTGATTGGGCCCATCCACCCACATAGGATTAAGTTTCACACTAAACCACTGGGGAAGATAAACTCCAATAATAAATTCAACAATTAACCTCAAATTCTTCAGCACTTTGCCCTTCAATTCGTGTTTGGAAATCCAAATCCTGCAGAAACGAAGAGCTGTAGTTAACCAACGGCTGTGACTGACAGGTCCAATCTCCAAGAGAGCCAATGACTGAGGCACTTCTCCTGATCTTATTGCTTGGGCAATACGATAAGCATAGGATTGATCTGTGCTGAGATCTTTGATGACTCCTTCAGACAACGCCGGAAGGGGAGGGCCAACTTCGACCTTTGGAAAGGTTGTATTTATTTCTAGTTGTGTTGCTTCATCCAGCATGATGCCAAGGGGACCTGACCACTTGTTGTTGCTCTTTGTAGGACCATCAAGTTCCTGGATGAGATGACGAAGAGGTAGCTCGCCTGTATGTAAATCACATACAATCCAAACAAGTCTTCTTCCTAGTTTTTTCTCTAAATGCGTCATTACACCCCCCTGCCATCCGGTGTTCACTGCAGTTGAATCTCCACCAACAGCCTGCAGTGAACTGCCAAGTCCTCTCTCCTGAACCCAACATAAAATATGATCAGCAATGACCTCTGCATGTTTCTTCCCTTCTACTTCAGTTTCGGGAGCAAAGTGAAACAAAAACCGACCACCAGGCTCAGAACAGACAGAGTAGTGTTCTTCTTTGATGAGACCTGGAAACTTTCTGTTCACTCCCTCTACTTCTAGCAAAACTTTTGTGTCATCTATTCTTCCATCAAACAAAAGACAGGAGAGCCCTCCCTCGCTTAAATCTTTTTCATGCTGATCAGATATTTCCTTCATTATTTTTTCTTGTGCTCTTCTAATTTTATTATGATCTATCACCAAAGATACATCCTCTCGGCTGATGAGGCCTGCATCTATCCAAGCGGCAGTTGCAATTTCTGCAGCCTCACGAAGTCCAGCATGGTGGCGAATACTAGCTAAAGCAATGTTTGAAATATTTCTTGTGTTGTATTTCATTTTCTTTGGTAAAGGTTCAGATGGCTCTTTGGAACTATCATCTGATGTTGCTTCCTGTTCATCAGAAGAACTATCAAAGAAGTGATAAACATCTTGACACAGCTCTTCCTCTCTTTGGATGGCTTCTTCACTCTTCATTTTCTTCTTTTGTTCCCTCTCTCGGATTTGTTCTCTCTTCTTGGCATTAGCAATCTGCTTCTTTGTTTCTGAATAATCTATTGAACCCATTTGCATACTTCCTTGGCCTTCTGCCTTTGTCCTCTGTGCCTTTATAAATTCAAGCTCTAAAACAGGGATCTTCTTTTCACGAGGACAACCACAATCAATGTGGGAATTATTTTCTCTCTTACCTGAGTGAGAACAGTTGGATTCAGAACATAATTGTATGGAGCACTTGCAGGTCAAAATGTCAAACAGAGTATCAAGTGTGTGCAGAAATTCATTTTTCCTGGCCAAGTTTCCTTTACCAAGTGATGTTTCAACTGCTTTGTGCCATAATTTCGTTAGTTTTAGCTCAATAGTTCGACACTGATTAATCACAGGTGGTTTGAATAGTGCATTAGCTTTTGTCCATTGATGCAGAAGAGGGACTATCATGTCATTTATGAGTTCTTTATCTGTATAGTTCCTTCTGTCCTTTGCATTTTTTTCTCGAAGGAGTAACCCTAATCTTAGCATGTCTCTCACTGTTGGAAGTTCTGATACAGGAAGCTCCTTCCCTTTACCAACTAGCAGGCTCAAGTGGGTTGACAACTGACTTCTTGTCTTCAATTTTGACATCTTCACACTATCTGACAAATAGAAAAATATTTCAATGTTTCATAATTCAATTGTTGTTTCAAAAAATATCAATTTGTTTATCAAAAATGCTGTAACAGAAATAACATAATAATTTCTTAGAACATAATGTTTTATACAATGATATAAGTAACTGCGACAATCAATATGCCCTACTTACAATAATTAAAATGTAGAATTCGTCTGGTAGAGTAGGTGCAAGTGCAATGAGAGCAAACCACCGTCTATGATATCTAGAAGGAGAGTGAGCCGGGCGCCTTATCCTCACGCTTGGTACAAGTCAAAACAAGAATTAAACTGTCCCACACGGAGAGCCTGTTCATGTTCATGTTCTGACATGCATATTGTACACAAGCTATAGAACCATAAAATACTCCATAATCCATATGCTTACATGAGATTAGTTAATATCAAGTGAATAATTCTAATCAAGTCTCATTAATTTGTTGAAATACTGATATTTGAAACTTTAAGGTATAATTGATGTAGGTGAGTGTTATTTCAATTCATTTTTGTTTGCTAATCTCAAGTTTAGACATAAAGAGGCACAATATTTTGACTACCAAATTTGATTTTTAACATGTTGACAAAATTGACACACCCTAATAGCCAGTGAATTATTCGCCGGGACAAAAATACTGTATATTCATATGTATAAAGTTAATGGAGGAAGACGCTAATGGTGGTGACAGCTGATGTCAAAGCTCATCAAGAGGGTACTGTTGTGTCACGGCTCACCAAGATGGCACTGTCATTTTACGGCTCACCAAGATGACACTGCCATGTCACGACTCATCAAGTGGCACTGTCAGCGGCAGCGATTTTGGCCGCGAGGTAAACGTCAAAAGTTTCTAATAGTTGTTTAATGAGTTTGAGAAGTATTAAGCCGATGGTGTCCGGCAGTCACTGCCAACCTGGCAAGATTACTCATATCTCTCATCTGCATCATGAGGCAGTCTGGGTTTACCACTGATTGCTGGTGCCAAAGTCTAGAGTGACCTCTTGAATTATAAACTGTGAAAAATTAGACTAACAGGACTTCACTAATTGATATAACAGGCTGAAGAGACTTCAGTACCTGAGAGAATACACTGGCAATAATTTAGAAAGTTAAAAGTTTTCAAATAATATTTTAGGATATGAGGCAGTAACTTAACAACACTTCATGATGTAAAAAAAACAAACAGACTGACGACATTCTTCCTTATTCAAAATACCGTTCTCTGTTTTAACGGGAAATATTTTTTTTTACTATATCTTGATAGATTTTTCGAGATACTCCTCATTTTCTTTGTCTACGAGACGATAGAATACTTCCATGGCCTCCGTTATAGTGAATACTATGACAGCTCACGGCAGGTTTGGTAAAACACAGAATTAGGAAAATGGGTGTTGTCAGCTGATGAAGGACGGCCGACCTAAGTTACAGGATAATAACTAATATCCCACACCGTCGGTTATTAACAACGGCTATAAATTACAGTAAATGTCGGATGAGCAGCTGTGAGGCCGGAGTTCGCGAGCACTTTTATGTTCGAATTAATATGTGCGACTGGAGGTGGCTCTGGAGTCCAATCCTTGACCCGCAGACATTCAGTCATAATTTTAAACATTAGGGTTACTTATAAGTATCCCGAAAACGCTCTCTAAGCCGTAATTAATATATTTTTTTTTAATTTGTTCGGGTTACCATTTAGTAGTCCGACAATATTATTGGAAAGTTCGGGATAAGTCCTCGGGTGTGTGTAGGCACCCGAAAGACTTATCCCGAATGTTCAAACTAGTTATATATGAATAGAAAAAGTGTCTGAAATATAATATATGTAAATTATGATGAGATAATAAAGAAAACAAATACTTAAATGCCCTAATAACCGGTTTTAACGCACTTTTGTTTGTGATAAATAGTTGTAATGCCATTTCCAATTCGCCAATATGTTATATAGGAAAGATATAAGATAAACCAAATGTACTAGGTAGATTGCTGAGGTAATAGTTTACAACAATAGTTACCATGGAAAAAAAATTCTCCTGTTGTATTTCATTGTTTGGGTTGTTGTTGTTCCAGTTGTGTTTAGGTTACGTAAAATATCTTTTTTTTGAGGAAAGGTTCGAACTCAGGATTAGAAGGAAGTACCAAAATTGATTAATGATGTTTACAATTACTCGATTTAAATCATGTCAGTCCTATCATGCATCACTGGAACAACAATAAACAAAAGTTGAATATACTATGGACAAATTTCTTAAGGAAATTCTCTGTAATAGCTATGCAACACGCTTGTAAATTATTATCAAACGTAATTTACCTAATATACAATAGTTACCACAATATATATATATATATATATATATATATATATATATATATATATATATATATATATATATATATATATATATATATATATATATAATAGATATTAGATTTTGTATTATTTTTTCAGGCTGGCAATATCGCATTCTGGTATGCAGAGCTAACTGATGTTGTGAGGATTGTTATTAGAGACCATCAAAATCCTTTTGCTTATCTCTCTGAGGAGGGGTTTATCAAGAGGTGTAGGCCGTCCAGGGAATGAATCCATGAACTTTTTGAACGAGTTGAGCCACATATGCCAAGAGTTCAAGAAGGACGAGGCAAGAAATTCTGGTATTTCTATAATGTGCAGTCTACAAGATAATTGGGTTAAATTATCTTAGGTTAATATTAGGTCAGGTTAGGTTAGGTTAGACTAAATATATATTTATAGACCGAAACTTTAAATCTTGGATTTTGGTCTTAGTTTAGAAGTGTATTGGGTATTTATTCAATGTTATTCAGTGATGCAAAAACCCCTAAGCCCACCTCCCATGTACAATAATACCACCAGGCCATAATTACAGTGCTGTATTATTTTCATTACCCAGAATTCGTGAATACGTACTCCAAATTGAAATTGGCTGGGAGTTTTTCCGGGAAAATTTTCAACATTTTGGGTCTGTGAACGAGTTTTCAAGGTTGAAAATCGGGTTAATTTTTTTGTAGAAAATTCCGAAAAATCTCTTAAAACAGTTTTATTCCAGTCCTTGGAGCAAATTCCGAGGTTAAATATCAGGAACATTTTCTGGAAATTTTTAATAAAATTTCCTTAAACTCTCCAAGTTTTTTCCCGGGTCCCCGAGGATAAAAGAATGTTTAAACACGGAAACTTTTACATGTAACCGAAAAATTTTAGGGATGTGGGATTTTTCATGGTTTGAGAGTCTTGTTATCTGGAAGTCTCTCATCCCAGGAAGAGCTCTACACCAATTATTCCGGCTAATGGGGATATCACCTGCATGTTGTACTTTATGGAGGGTGATTCTCTGAAGAACTTAAAATGTAACACAGTAATATATATCATTATAGGAGCCCTGTTGTTTACTATAATCAGGATAAGCAATGTTAGACAAAACAGTAAATAAAAAAACAAATTCTATCCTACAGGATGCAGTATTCCTCACACCTGCAACTCATAACTTCATTGATATACTTTAGCTGTGGCAGCTTCCAAATTAGTATGGCAGACTGCTGGAAGATTTCTGTCTCATCAGTTTGGAAGTTTGTCAGAAGCTTTGCAACTATTTTGACCCTTATGGCAAAAAATTACATCCACTTTCCAGAGTCAAGCAACATACAAAATCTTGTAGATGAATTTCACACCATTGCAGGGATGTCTGGTGTATTTGGCTGACCTACATCGATGTAGAAAGTGGTGTAATTGATACATGGGTTTGATTTGTATACTGTAGTTTGTTTGAAAGTAGAGCAAGTGTAAGGGTAAATAGAAGCATTAATGGTTTGGTAAAAAAATTGTATTAGATAAAAGATTTTATCAAGGTTATTTTCCAATAAATTTTTTGGCTTTAAATAACACATTTTATTTCCTCCAAACATTATCACAGTGCAACTTGAAACAGTATTTAAATTATAACAAAATTAAAAAGGGATTACACTGGCATGACTAAAGAAAAATATATCACAGTACAGTGCAGTACAGTATATGTAAAATTATATCATTCAAATATTTTAGTATTTTGCTTGAAATAATAAATTTACACATTTTTAAAGGCTCCAAAGTACTATACTGAAATAGTTTGCAAGTGTCTGAGAAATTATATAAAAATTTAGTTCCTCTAAATAAGAACAAGCAGTAAAGCCCAATTTATCTCAGTACCTGTACAGTCCTGTATATAAATTAATAGTAATCATACTTAGATTAAAATTGCAAATACAGTTATATCAATCATTCTTGAAATATTTTAGAAGTAAGTATGAGTATACAATAATCACAGTATATTGTATATGAAATTCTAGAACAAATATGTTGAATCTATTTGATTTCACAAGAAGTAAAGGAACAAAAATTCATAACAAATGTTAGAACATGGAAAAAAACAATCATATTCTCCATTAAGTGCAAAAAAACAGTAAACAGAGAGAGGTAGAAAAATAACAGTTTTTACATTATCTATTATGACACTGATGGCAATGTCTCCATAATTTAACTAAATGCCCAAGGACAGGTGGAATTCGAGCTGCTCTCTTGACATATCTATTGGATCCATAAACAGTTGCGGCGTTCGTGTTACTAATAGCAACTGACATTCCGGGAGTGCCCTTCAAACAAACTTGCTCCGAAGTGTTTGAAAATATAGTCTCTCTATGACACATTGGGCAAAGAGCTCCGGGTTGGGTGGGTGGTCTCTGGAGTGCCAATTGAGTCTCCTTTCATATAGAGCACATCTGGCCTATTACGCTCTTTATACGCGATGTGACGCCTTGGGTACAGGTGGGCGCCGTAGAACTACTGGATGCAATATTTTAAGATCTTTGTGTGTGTAGATGTTGCTGTTTTAGCGTCGTTCTAGATTGCTCTTTGTACCTTTGAATTGTCCTCTAGGGTTTGCGGCTTACCTCGGGCAGTTGTTCGTAGAGGACTGGCGAGGGGTCGGTGCTTTCTGGCATGCGGATGACATGTCCCGTCCATTGCAACTGTTGTTTATGAAAAGCCTTCTCTGCTGATGTTGGTAGCATGAAAGACTCTTCAGTATCGCAGGACTTTGTCCTGCCATTTCAGACAGAATATGCTACAAACAAACGGATATGGAAGGCCTCGGGGATCTGGTATCGCTTTGGTATGTAATCACGCATCGAACCCAAATAAGATGGTGGAAGCTGGGCAACGGCATTAAACCAGTTTGGTTGGAACTTTGGTTGTTGTTGTTGAACACTGTGGCGTGCAGACGACTAAAGGAAGCGGTTACAAGATGGATCAAGCACCGGATCTCTCGTCGCTGTTGCTTAGGAATAAGGCGCATGCACATAATACTACTACTACTTATGTCACTCGAAATCGGGTATGACTGTCATCCAGCTATCATACAATAATATGGGTTATTAAGGTTGTCACCTTCGTCTAGCGAGCTCTGAGGTAGTTGAGGAAGGCCGATACAGAGTTGGGAGGGGGTGTCCACACAGATGTTGTAGGTGTGGAGGGCTACATCTTGTGCAGGAGGGACGGCGGCAGCATCTTTCCGGCATGGCGTTTATCTCCTCAGTATGCAGTCAGGCCAGTACGAAAATATTGACACCTTCTTGTGTGGTATTCCTCCAAGCATTTACAATTATTGAATTGATTGTCTCCCCAGGTGAGGGGAGTTGGTTGGCAACTATTTTGACCCTTATGGCAAAAAATTACATCCACTTTCCAGAGTCAAGCAACATACAAAATCTTGTAGATGAATTTCACACCATTGCAGGGATGTCTGGTGTATTTGGCTGACCTACATCGATGTAGAAAGTGGTGTAATTGATACATGGGTTTGATTTGTATACTGTAGTTTGTTTGAAAGTAGAGCAAGTGTAAGGGTAAATAGAAGCATTAATGGTTTGGTAAAAAAATTGTATTAGATAAAAGATTTTATCAAGGTTATTTTCCAATAAATTTTTTGGCTTTAAATAACACATTTTATTTCCTCCAAACATTATCACAGTGCAACTTGAAACAGTATTTAAATTATAACAAAATTAAAAAGGGATTACACTGGCATGACTAAAGAAAAATATATCACAGTACAGTGCAGTACAGTATATGTAAAATTATATCATTCAAATATTTTAGTATTTTGCTTGAAATAATAAATTTACACATTTTTAAAGGCTCCAAAGTACTATACTGAAATAGTTTGCAAGTGTCTGAGAAATTATATAAAAATTTAGTTCCTCTAAATAAGAACAAGCAGTAAAGCCCAATTTATCTCAGTACCTGTACAGTCCTGTATATAAATTAATAGTAATCATACTTAGATTAAAATTGCAAATACAGTTATATCAATCATTCTTGAAATATTTTAGAAGTACTGTACTGTACCTGTATTGAAATTGTAATTAAAGTACAAAGGAAAGGTGAAATAAAAGAATGATTAAAATTTCCAATAAGTATGAGTATACAATAATCACAGTATATTGTATATGAAATTCTAGAACAAATATGTTGAATCTATTTGATTTCACAAGAAGTAAAGGAACAAAAATTCATAACAAATGTTAGAACATGGAAAAAAACAATCATATTCTCCATTAAGTGCAAAAAAACAGTAAACAGAGAGAGGTAGAAAAATAACAGTTTTTACATTATCTATTATGACACTGATGGCAATGTCTCCATAATTTAACTAAATGCCCAAGGACAGGTGGAATTCGAGCTGCTCTCTTGACATATGTCACCAGTCAACAACTCTAATGCTTACTCAAAATACATTACGCACAGATTGGGGTGATAATGTATTGTACATATCTGTGGAGGCCTTTAAAGCCTCCAATACAGCACTATTCAGTTCTTGTGTACTGTTCTTAATAATGGCATTAAAGTATTTATTCGTCTTGTTTACTTGCTTCCCTTTCTTCCCCTTGTGGCACGGGTGATCCTGATGTTGGATCAGTTGATCCAAGTGTTTCTGCTGGTGCAGACTCTGGCATAATTGTTGGTGATGTCTGCCTTCTCCCTTGAAGACGAACTTTTATCTCCACAACTCATGTTTCTGATTAAAATTTGGCGCGCAGATCGACCCGGTCTGTTTACATATATTTGGATGTAAACAGTTGCGGCGTTCGTGTTACTAAATAGCAACCTGACATTCGGGAGTGCCCTTCGGGCTGTTTGCTCCGAGTGTTTGAAAATATGGTCTACTATGACACATTGGGCAAGAGAGCTCCGGGTTGGGTGGGTGGTCTCTGGGAGTGCAATTGGGTCTCCTTTCCTTATAGGCACATCTGGCCCTATTACGCTCTTTCTCGCGATGCTTGACGCCTTGGGTACAGGTGGAGCGCCGTAGAATACTACTGGATGCAATATTTTCAAGATCCTTTGGTGGAATGTTACATTTTTTTAGCGTCATTCTGAATTGCTCTTTGTACCTTTTGAATTGTCCTCCAGGGTTGCGGCTTGCCTCGGGCAGTTGTTCGTAGAGGATCTGGCGAGGGAGTCGGTGCTCTGGCATGCGGATGACATGTCCCGTCCATTGCAACTGTTGTTTCGCCAGAAATGTCTCTCTGCTGGTGATGTTGGCGCGCAAGAAGATGTCAGTATGTGGGACTTTGTCCTGCCATTTCAGACCAAGAATGTGCTACAAACAACGGATATGGAAGGCCTCGAGAGATCTGATATCCTTTGGTATGTAATCCACGCATCAGACCCAAATAAGATGGTGGAAATATAGACAGCTTGGTAAACCAAGTTTGGTTGGAACTTTGAGGTTGTTATTGTTGAACACTGGCGTGCAGACGACTAAAGGAAGCAGTTACAAGATGGATCCAAGCCTGGATCTCCTCGTCGCTGTTGTGCTTGGGAATAAGAGCGCATGCACACACTAATACTACTACTACTTTATGTCACTCGAAATCGGGTATGACTGTCATCCGGCTATCATACAATAATATGGGTTATTAAGGTTGTCACCTTCGTCTGTGAGCTCTGAGGTGATTCGAGAGGCCGATACAGGATTGGGAGGGGTGTCCACAGATGTTGTAGGTGTGGAGGGCTACATCTTGTGCAGGAGGGACGGCGGCAGCATCTTTCCGGCGCTGGCGTTTGTCTGCCTCGGTATGCAGTCAGGCCAGTGCGAAAATATTGACACCTTCTTGTGTGGTATTCCTCCAAGCGTTACAGTGTGGAGTGATTGTCTCCCAGGTGAGGGGGTTGATTTGGCACTTTTTCAGGTGTGTCTTAAGACTATCCTTATACCTTTTCCGTTGCCCTCCAGCATTACATTTACTATTCGTTAGGTGACTATAAAGTAGCTAGTTTGGCAGTCTACTGTCGTCCATGCGCGTTACATGGCTAGTTCAACGTAGTTGTTCCTTGATGCTCCTACAATTGGTGTCAGCGAGAATACTGGCATTTGTTCTTTTGTCTTTCCAGTTGTTGTCACGAGGAGG